TATTAAAAAAAAAAAAAAAAAAATTAAAAAAAACCAACCGTTTTGGGTTTTCACTGGAAGGGTTGTGTGGTGACTCTGGGCTGACTCTGCCTGTCCCTCTTTGCAGGGCCACCCCTTCATCGTGCAGTACAACGACGGGAACGCCGAGGTGGTGTCCATGTGGGTGTGCAGGATGCTGGAGGAGCGGCGAGCGGCCCAAGGACCACAGTGACCACAGCACCATCCACCACAGCTCCTCCTGGACCAGCAGCACCAGCCCCGCCGCTTCCAGCTCTCAGCCTCTCCGGATCGTATTTTACTAAAAATATTTTCTAGGAAGCATCATCAACAAAACCTTGCAGGATCTTCGTTGCCGCCTTGCCCTCACCACCACGTTAAGGAATTTCCTTCCCGGGTTTCTTTTGCTGCTGAGCAAATTAACGTCCTCAGATTATCTTCAGTTAAACTGTACACAGCCTTAAAGCAAGTATTTTATATCTCTATTTTTTTGTTACTGAATGTATTGTATATTTCCTGCCTCCAGAGTATTTTTTAACTGTTGGTCTTTTGCTATTGTACAAATGACACGCTGAGTGTCTTCAGAGGATTTCGTAGAGAGCTGTTGGCTCTCTGTGAGTGCAGACGTCCACAAAACGCTGGTTTTAAATGTTAAAACGAAAGCAAACAAACAGACAAGAAGTGTCTGGAGTCACCCATCCTGCCAGGAGGTTGAGGGATTGCCCTTTTGGAGTGAAAAAAAAGGTATGAAGCGATGGGCAGAGCCTGCTGCTGGGACTGGGGTTTGCTGGAAGGACCGAGCAGGAGAGGACAGGACACACAGGGGTGTGTGATGAGCATCCGTGCTCAGGCACTGCGGGCTCTTCCCTAAATGCTGAAGGGTTTTATTGAGGTGGGAAAAAGTGAGGTGAGAGAGGACAACGCTCCCCTAAATGGAGAAGGGGGGCTGCTGGGCCAGCACCAGCCAGAGCCGGTGGCCCCGAGCCCTGCACGGCCGAGACGGGCTGTCGGCCTCTGGCTGGGAAGGGAGGGTGGCCCTGGGCACCAGAGTTTGCCAACAGCAATGGCAGGAGGTCCTGCCCCTGCCGTCGAGGAAGCTGAGGACCATGGCACAGGATTTGTCCCACTAAAGGGGGACAAACATCAGGGGCTGCACAGCATCCCAGGAGCTTGTGGGACCCCACGCAGGGGGCTGTGGCTGTGCTCCTTCGTGGCCAGGGAAGGGGCTGCAGGGATTTACTTCTTCTCACAGCAATTCGTGGCTTTGCTGGGAAGCATCTTGCCTTTCCCAGCTCGGCCTCAGCCACTTATTTTCTCACCTGGGAGTCTCTGCACGAGGGGTGCAGCCCCATCCAGGGAAGGCTCCCAGCTCTGCCAAAGGATGAAACGACCATTGCAACGTCTCTGCTGTGGATTTCTTACCCCTGCCATTCCCGGGTGTGTTTCCACCACGGACTGACACAGATTTCATCAGTCCTTGTGTTAAGATGCTTATTAAAAAAAACCCAAACAAACCCAGGGAAGAGAGAGGAGGACTGTGAAAAGCAGAGTTGGGGTGTGTGACTCGGGTTGGGGAGGAGGTTGGGGGCTTTTGTTTGCTTGTTTTTGCATTAGAAATAAACTTTTGCTAAAAAAAAAAATAAAGAGAGGAGGACTGTGAAAGGCAGAGTTGGGGTGTGTGACTCAGGTTGGGGAGGAGGTTGGGGGCTTTTGTTTGCTTGTTTTTGCATTAGAAATAAACTTTTGCTAAAAAAAAAAATAAAGCTCTGGTAGTTTATTATTTACTGGCAGCTTAAAAAAAAACACAACAACCCAATTCGGTGAAAAATTCCTCCTGAACCACCGCAAATCCTAAATGTTTCTCTGGAAGCAGCCTGGAAAAGACTTTGTTTCCTTCCTTGGAGGGATCGTTTGTCTTCTTTTGAAGTATAGAGGTTGCAGGCACCAACTTATAGACTAAAGTTTGTCTTAATTGCTCTGATGTCACAACCTCCCTGGCAGATAACAGTACAATGAATGAGTCAACAGCCCCCGTACCTTCAGGTCCTTTTTCTAAAGTGAGACAAATTTCCTCCCTGTGAGCCAACCAGACTATAGGCAGCTCTTCCATTTATTTATCTCTAACAGTTTGCATTAGCTTTCTCCGGATAAAAAGTCTCTCCCTTGGATTTAGTTAAAAAAGTCAGTAAAAAACCAAGGCTTTTCCTCTCGCTTTCCCTGGCGGGGAGGTCGGGAGGGGAAGACATCACCCTGAGGATCCGTGTGGGATGCCAGCTGATGGGAATGTGAAAAATCTGCTGGCTGAGGGGCTGACAGTGTGATAATTCACGGGCACGCGTCCGAACCTTGCTGTCTTTATCAGTACACTTAATCAATCCCCCCATCACGCGGGAGGTTTGGGGCCTCTCTCATCTTTCCCCGCCCCCCTCTCCTCCAAGTCCTTGAATTTGGTGGAGGGAGGAGGACGAGTCCTTGGGGGTCTGCTGGTGGCACTGCTTCTGCCCTGCTCCCCTCCCAGCGCTGCCTTAGCGCCGTTTTTGGGGGGGATTAGGGCTGGATGGGGAAAACTTGGCTCCTGGTGAGCACCCCAGCCATGGTGCCATCCCGAGGGTCGGGCAGCAGCGAGGTTGACCTCCCTGAGCTGCCACCTCCTACCTTGGACATGGTGTCCTTGAATGGTGTGTCCCCGGATGGTGTGTCCCCAGATGGTGAGTCCCCAGGGGAGGTCTGGGACCCCACCTCCAGCCAGCTGTGGTGCCACCCCAAGGGTTGGGCAGCAGCGAGGTTGAGGTCCCTGAGCTGCCACCTCCTGCCTTGGACATGGTGTCCCTGGATGGTGTGTCCCCAGGGGAGGTCTGGGACCCCACCTCCTGCCTTGGACATGGTGTCCCTGGATGGTGTGTCCCCAGGGGAGGTCTGGGACCCCACCTCCTGCCTTGGACATGGTGTCCCTGGATGGTGTGTCCCCAGGGGAGGTCTGGGACCCCACCTCCTGCCTCGGACATGGTGTCCCTGGATGGTGTGTCCCCCCAGGGGAGGTCTGGGACCCCACAGACCAGTCTGCCTTGCTCCCTGGGGGCTACTGGGGGTGTCCCCCCCAGCACAGCACCTTGCCCTCCCCTTCCAACCCACATCCCGGCCCCACTTTGCACCCACGTCTGCAAATCCCTGGTGCCCACAAAGCCAAATTCAAGCAGTCCAGCCCAATTCTCGCCATCAAGGGGCAAAAGTAAGAAGAAGGGGGGGGGAAGGCAATAAAATTGGGCCAGGATCTGGGCAGATTTAGCTCCAGTGGGTGCCCCCACCCACAGCAAGCAGCCCCCTGGCCAGTTGGCTCCCAGCCTGGGCTCCTCTCTCTGTACAAATTGTGCCCCCCCCATGTCTGTGCCATCTGGGGAGAGCCTGGTGTGGGGGATGCAGGGTCCCCCCCCAACCCCAGCTGAAGGGGACCCCAGGGGGGGCAGCATGACAAAGCAGGGGTGGCAAGTGCTGCGTTGAAGCCCAGGAGATCCCACCTGGGCACACGCAGAGGTGACTTTGAGATCACCAGGACATCACCAGGACACCTGAAACGTGCCACTGTGAGCCCAGCCCTGGGCTCTGCCTCCAGCCTCGTGTGTCACACCCCCCCAAAACTCCTCCTGCTGCCACTTTTTGGGGGGCTGAGTCAAGGCATTTCTTGCCTTGCAGAAAATGAAGCAATATTACACCTTGCAGCTGAGTCCTGCTCAGAAGACAGCGTGGGGGGGGGGTCATAACAAATGCATTAATGCAGCAGTGGATGCTATAGATGCTCTAGATGTGCTGAGTGATCACACACCCCCCCATCATCTCCCCCAGCCCCACTCCTCTCCCACCACCTCATTTAGGGACTCCCCCTGCAGCCCCACACCAGTCTGTGTCACCTCTCCCTGTAACCCCACTCGTGGTGGTCCCCACAGACCCTGTCTCCTGTGGGGATGTGGGTGCAGGAGCTCACAGGCTCTGGGAGAACCTGGGTGTGTCCCATCTGGGCCAAAACTTCCAGTATTTTCAGGTGTTCTTTGCCTGTGATCCTCGCCAGGTGAAGCTCATCCTCTGACATGAACCTGGGGGTGGTTTGCCTTTAAACGCAGCACAGAATTGGAAAATATTTGGTTTCTGGTGTCCCGTGGCCAAACACATCCTGCTGTCAGCTTTCCAAAGGGGAAGTGTCAGTCGTTGTTTTCCGAACAGCCTGAAAAGCTCTGTCTCTGTGTGTGTGTGTGTGTGTGTCTGGCAGCACTTGCACGTGTGGCAAAGAAACCAGAAATGGGGAATTGCAGTGGGCTGTGGCCTCGAGGGGTCCCCAACCTGTCCTTCTCCCCGGGCAATAACGGAGCAATCACTGGGAATGGGTTTTAGGAGATTCATTGGATCCCTTTGACATCTGAGAGTGTAAGCAAAGCCTTGGCCTGACGCTGGGAGGGGTGTATGTGTTTTTCCTGCCTGGTGGAGCTTTGTGGTCCTGCAGGGAAAAGTTCACCTGGAAGCACCAACGGGAAAGGGATGGACAGCAAGGACCCTCCTCGCATCTCTGTGGTGCAACGTCTGAAGCAAAACCTGGGAATTTGGGTCTTTGAAGGAAAAATAAATAAAATCCCTAATTCTACAGGGAGCAAAATCCAGTGGGAGCCCACGGCAGAGACCACTGTTTGGTGCCAGAGGGACTTTGGCTGCGGGTGAGGAGGGGGGTGATGGCACCAGGGCAGGCACACGGCTCCTGCCTCGGATTTCTGGCTCCGACTGACCTGTCTCTGCCCAGAGCTGCCTCCAGGTGGGACAGCCCAGGGGGGCCACCACCATCCAGCCCCACAGGAAATGCACATGGGACCCCCACCACCCTCCCCAGGCAGCCTGGAGCCTCAGCCAGAGAGGAAGAGGAGGGAGAAGGGGGATGCTCAGCCTCCTGGCGACAAAGCATCTTTGTGCAGAGGCTTTTTTCCTCCTGCTCCCATTAAGACGTGCAGCTGGTAGAGACACACACGGCAGAGACCCGACAACACCCCCCACAGACCCGTCCTTGCTGGGTCACACAGGCCTGGATGCACCCGTGGGGCTGAGTTAAACACATCACAGGTGATTCCAGCTCAGGGAGAGCTGCAGGAGACCCAGCTGTAGCCTCTCAGCTTCTTTGGAGGGTGCTCAGGAGACCCTCTTCAGCTGTGTGAGGTTATTTGTGGGTGCATCCTGCCCCACACAGCCTAGTCCCTGCCCCACTGCTGTCCTGTAGCTGCCCTCTGCCCTGGGCAGGAGCCAGATGGAGGCCCAGATGCTACAGTTTGGTGGCCACCATGTCCCTGAGGTGGGATCCAGGCCCCTGAGGAGCAGAGGGACTCTCCAGCGAGGAGAGGGAGCACCACTGCGTGATGGTGAGGTCTGAGCTATTGCAGTTATTTTAGGATAACTTATCTTCAGCCTTCCCCAGGGGCAGGCTGGGGGGGGGCTCACAGGCACCGTGGGGCACAAATCTGGAGGGGTGGGGGGGGACCATTCCCTGAAATTGCCACAGGTGATTCCAGCTCAGGGAGAGCTGCAGGAGACCCAGCTGTAGCCTCTCAGCTTCTTTGGAGGGTGCTCAGGAGACCCTCTTCAGCTGTGTGAGGTTATTTGTGGGTGCATCCTGCCCCACACAGCCCAGTCCCTGCCCCACTGCTGTCCTGTGGCTGCCCTCTGCCCTGGGCAGGAGCCAGAGGAGGCCCAGATGCTACAGTTTGGTGGCCACCATGTCCCTGAGGTGGGATCCAGGCCCCTGAGGAGCAGAGGGGCTCTCCAGCGAGGAGAGGGAGCACCACTGCGTGATGGTGAGGTCCTCAGCTATTGCAGTTATTTTGGGATAACTTGTCTTCAGCCTTCCCCAGGGGCAGGCTGGGGGGGCTCACAGGCACCATGGGGCACAAATCTGGAGGGGTGGGGGGGACCATTCCCTGAAATTGCTGGCCTCATCCTGTTCTCCCAGCTCAGCAGCATTGCAATTGCTGCAGGAGACCCAGCTGTAGCCTCTCAGCTTCTCTGGAGGGTGCTCAGGAGTCCCTCTGCAGCTGTGTGAGGTTATTTGTGGGTGCATCCTGCCCCACACAGCCCATCCCTGCCCCACTGCTGTCCTGTGGCTGCCCTCTGCCCTGGGCAGGAGCCAGAGGAGGCCCAGATGCTACAGTTTGGTGGCCACCATGTCCCTGAGGTGGGATCCAGGCCCCTGAGGAGCAGAGGGACTCTCCAGCGAGGAGAGGGAGCACCACTGCGTGATGGTGAGGTCTGAGCTATTGCAGTTATTTTAGGATAACTTATCTTCAGCCTTCCCCAGGGGCAGGCTGGGGGGGGGCTCACAGGCACCGTGGGGCACAAATCTGGAGGGGGGGGGGGGGGCCATTCCCTGAAATTGCTGGTCT